TCTTCAAGGCTTCAAATGCTGCTTCCGATTCTTGATTCCATTGGAATTTCTCTTTACTAGTCAAGTGTGTAAGTGGAGCTGCAACTCGTGAGAAATCTTTGATGAAGATCCGATAGTAATTGGTAAATCCCAAGAAACATTGGACATCTCTTACTATCCTTGGAATCTTCCAATCCATGATTGTTTGGACTTTCTTAGAATCCATCATGAGACCATCATTTGAAATGATGTATCCTAAAAAGTCAACTTCAGTAGTGTGAAATACACACTTTTCCATCTTAGCGTACAATCCTGCATCTCTAAATTTTTGTAATACTTGACAAACATGTATTTCATGTTCTTCGACGTTCTTAGAATAGATCAAGATATCGTCTAGATAGCAAACGACAAAATTATCTAAGAATTCACGAAATATATCATTCATGAGATGTTGAAAAGTAGTTGGTGCATTCGTGAGTCCAAAGGGCATGACATTATATTCGAAATGTCCATACCTGATTCGATACGCAGTCTTCCATTCATCTCCTTCTTTGATCCATACTAGATTATATGCTCCTCTTAGATCTATTTTTATATAGATCTTAGCTTGATTCAACTGGTCAAGGAGTCCTGATATCAAAGGTAATGGATACCTGTTCTTGATTGTGATCTTGTTGAGTCCTCGATAATCAACACACATTCGTAAAGATCCATCTTTTTTTTTACGAATAGAATTGGAGCTCCTGCTTGAGATTTTGAATGGCGTATGAAATTCTTCGCTAAATTCTCGTCAATATATGTCTTGAGTTCAGCTAACTCATCTTGCGATAAACTGTAAATTGGTCCAAATGGTGGCTGAGTTCTTTCCTTGAGATTGATTGAACAATCATATGGGCGATGCTCAGGAAGAATATCTGCATTCTTGTTCTCAAAAATATCTTGATACTCCTGATATTGACTTGGAATGCCACTTGAAGTCTTTACATTTTCAGAAATAGGTGCAGCATAAATAGCAAAAGTTGATCCTTCTTTTGCTGCGTGCATAAATGCTTTTGCACCTATCAGTACAGATTTTACTATACTAGACTTATAATTTTTTACTTGGTTAGTAGAACTATTAATAACGCTCTGGGAAAAGTCAAGTTTACACGAATTCCAATCTATTCGAGGGTTATATTTTTCTAGCCAGGATAAACCTAAAATAACTGGATTGGACGGGGATTTAATTATGTTAAAAGCTATGTAGCTATCATGACCATCTATTGTTACTTTTATAAGATGAGTTTCATGAGTGACATCTCCAGAAGACAAGGGACGACCATCTATGACTTCTACATGTACTGGTTTAGGTTTCTGTATAAAAGATATTTTACGACTTTTAACAAATTGTTCATCTAAAAAACATACTGAGGCTCCCGAATCTAATAAAGCAGAGGCTTTGTAATTCTTAGGTCCTAAATATAAGTCTATTATAAAACAAGAAGAGGGTTCTGAGGAGAGGATAGGACCTTCATTAGGAATTGTACAAGGTTCCAGCTGCATGGTTCCTATTGTAGCTGGACGAATCCGTTTTCTGACATGTTGTCTTCTTTGACCGCCGTACCCCTCATTTTATAGTTGCGTCGTTTCTTTGGACAATGTTGAGCAGTGTGCTTAGGTTCTCCGCAATATAAATATAATCCTTCTTGACGATGATGAATCTTTTCTTGCTCAGTTAGGGGTGTAAAATGCACCACGTCAATTTGCATGTCTTCTACTTCTGAATGTACGTTTGGCAAAGATGTTGATGTTGCCATTGAGTAATAACGTTGAGGTTCCCGTGAATGATTTTCGGATCGAAATTCGAAAAGTCGATTATCACATTTTATCTCAAAATCGATTGCTTGACTCAAAGTTTGAGGATCAGGTAAGTTGAGCATCAATTTCTTTACTTCATATTGCAATCCTTAAAGAAATTGACTGATGAGTGCAGCATCATCCCACTTGATGTCAATTGCAAGTTGTCGAAATTGTGAAGCATATACTGTTACAGAGCGATTTCCTTGTCGCAGAATTCGGATCTTATTTGTTGCAACACGAGTTGCATCGTTGTCACCATACATAGATCGAAACTTTGCCAAAAAAGCTTCCAAATTGTCCAATATTGGATTTCGTTGTTCAAGAAAAGACGAAAACCACGATAATGCAGAACCAGAAAGTAGAGTGCTAATAAACCTGACTTGTGATCCTGGAGTTGGATAGCTTTGCGGTTGAAGTTCAATTACCAATTGTACTTGATTGATGAACCCTCGAAACTTTGATCTCGTACCATCAAATTTCTCGGGTAAGGCAATTCTTGGTTCTCTAGTGTTTACAGGGTGTTGTACAATTGGGGAAGGAACATGATTTGTTGTAGATGTTGAAGCAGCTCCGATCATCTCTATATCTCCACTTTCTGCTATTCTTATTCTTTCCTGTGTTGGTGAATTGAGTTGATGCATCGCAAGCATTAACTCCCTCATTTGCTCTTGCATTTGTGCCATTGCACTCTTCATTTCAAGAAGCTCTGTCATAATGACACTAAGAAGAAAAATTTGTTTGATACTGCTCAAGACAAAAGAAAAGAAAGACTTGATAACAAAGAAGATACTAAGAACAATATCAGTTTAGAAGTGGGTAATCGACAAACTTCTAATACACTTATGTCTTGTCAAGAAAAAGGGGTAATCCACTCTTACTCAAGAAAAACAAAGCTCTGATATTGTAAGTGTACTCTTGTCAATCTGTCAAGGACAAAGAGTCGATGAGGGAAAATATACACAAAAAGGCTATCTCGATATAATAAGTCAAAATATAAACAAGTATGTATATTAAAAGGAAACTGGAATGGCTATTGCGACAAGACAAGAAACTAAAGACTCTTGAACCTGGACTAGGAGCAAGAAAGGAGTTGACAAGAGTGAAGAAGCCTTCACTCTTGTCTCTATATATACTATCTAACTAGGGGCTACGTGGCGATGTTCTATAGGACCTCCAATGTGTGTTGACTTTGTAAGACACATGCCTTGACTTACAAGGCAAGTTTTTCTACGTGTGGGCCACATAGTTAGCTTGATCTTCAAGCTAACAACATGTGTGGCACATGGCCAACTTGTTGACCACGTTTCTAATCCAAAAAGTCAATTAAAGACACCTATGAAGTCAAAGCAGCGTCTAGGAAGTTTCTAGGAAGCTTTCATATTAAATATTATAGAATTAACTTACTTTTATCTACTTTTACTTACTTCTACCTATTTCTATATGTAATTATTAGCTTACATGATTATGGCCGTGACAGTTAGAGTATTTTATTCATTGATACAACTACAATGTTAATTAGTGTATATGGGAACTAATAAAAAATCTAATTAATGTGCCGCAAAAGATACAAGAGTTTCATCTATGCTATTCTCAAAAAACTAAACCTATTTTAGGATGATTTTTTTATAAAGCTACTACTAAGATGTTATATATAACAAAATAAATAGATATTATTCACAGTAACCTTAGAATTTAGTGTATCTAGTTTATGATCCAATATGTCAATTTGAAGAGTATTTAAAAAGACTTCAGATCATAAATCTCAAAGTAGAGCTAAAGTTGGAACTTTTCATATCAATATTATCAAATCAACTATTCCGACTCTTGTAACCTTTGCAAGATCATCCTCAAGATAAAACTGAACTTTATTGAAAGAAGAAACATCTATTTTATAGTGAACTCAAATAAAAAAATCTTGAAGATGATATATTAACTTACATCTTAAGAATGTTTAAAAATTGAATCACCTATATAAAAGGCTATAAATATTCATTTAAATAAAATAGTATTTAAAGCTTTTTTTAGGTCTATAATACTTAGGCTATTCACTTTTAAGATTTGCAACAAACTTTCTAAACCACCTTTATATAAGTAAATTCTTAAATATTCTCTTATAAAATATTTTTGGTAGGATATCAATTTTTTTTTTTTTTTTTTTTTTTTAAAGAACCATTCAAAATTGAGGTCAAGAAGTGGATAAAGGATATGATGATGTTGTATACTATAATAACTCTTTTAACCATATTAATTTTTATAATATACTAAAAAATAAGTTTTTTCTTTATTTTGTCATATAAAAATTGATCAATATTATTGATGGTCATAGTTAGTCTAAATGAGATGTCATAAATTTTTAATATATTTATTCTTTTATGCCCATGTCTATTTTAATTTTTTAATCCAATGAAATTCGGCAATGAATTTGTATTGTTAGTATGCCACTGATTTGGACCAATTGATATCTACATGCATAACTAAATTAGTGGAAGATTTTCACAACTTGAAATATAGAGCCTTCATCACCTTTTAAGATGAAGGTAGAATCATTTACATATTGCATTGCTAAGGAAGGAAATTCTATAAGTTATTCTTTTTAAAATTTCCTCTTGAATGTTGAAGATTTCTGTTATAATTAAGAAGAGGTAAGGGAGCATCTTTGCCTCATACCTCTAGAAATAGAGAACCTATTAGTTAGGTTTATGTTTACACAAACTGCTCCCTCTACTCTCCTACTTGAGTCATTTGCACCATTAAATTTGGTTACATCTTCCACCAAACGAGTTAAAAAATAGTCAATAATATATATATTTTTTTTTCATCTCAGAATTTATTTTCAGCCGTTTTTTGTGCTTATCCCAATATATGAATCTACAAATTATATTTTGCTTAGAATATTTCAAATAAATTATACTTTCAGACCCACAAATAATTTATATTTTCAGACCCAAAAATAATTTAAAATTTAAGATTTAAATAATATAAAAACTCGTTGGATATTAACATTGGTATTTCACCAAGGAAAAATTCTTCAGATTATGTGTAGATTATGTACGTGGATTGGACCAAGCCAGAATAGACCTTTCATCCGTTAATAAGGTAGGATGAAATCGGGAGCGAACATAACATCCAAATGGTTCATCCAAACCCAGTCTGGTGTCCCTGGCCCGAACCGAAGGGAGGGCTAGAAACCTGAAAACCCTAGAAACGGCAGAAGAATTTCCGAGGTCTGTAGGATTGTAAGATTTTCCCGTGAAGGAGCGAGGTGCGATCGGTCGATTCGACCGCTGCATCGTGAACCCAACATTTTCAGCTTTTTCGCATTTTGGGTTTTGTGTGATTCCTGTTAAGATGTCGGGCGCGGCGGCGACGTCAGTAGCGCAGGCTGCTGCTCCTTACTGGAGAACAGCAGGCATGACTTACCTTTCTTACGCCAATACATGCGCAGCTATGGTTCGCAACTGCTTGAAGGAACCGTTCAAGTCCAAGGCGCTCCAACGTGAACATGCATACTACAAGTTCCAGCCCTACGCAGAAGGCGCTCCACAGAAAGCAGGTGCATGGCCTGTTACTTGTGAGCCTCGTTAAGATGATTGTTGCCGTTCTTCGAGTGTGAGTTCCTAAACCTTGCATTGTGATTTGTGTGGCGTCATGCAGTGGTGCGGGAGACTGGCGCTCCCTCTTCCAACTAGATGGAGGTGAAGCAGGTGATGTGTCTTTTTTTTTAGAGTCATCTGGATTTTGCACTCAATATTCTCAGAGTTGGGGAATAAAGCTGCTCCTTCTAAGGTAGGAATCTATCTGTGCAGCAGGAATTGACTCCGAGACTTGTTCTGGAATGCAACAGTACTCATTATTAATGATAAGCTGAGGCTTCCGGGAAACAGAAATTGTGACTTCTTTTGCTTGGATTCCTGGCATCTGGCATGAGATATACTTTTCAAGCTCTAAGGTTTCTGCAAATATGATGTGGGTTGTTAGAAAATCCTATTCTTGTAGGAACTGATAACTGTGCAGGATGAGTGTATTTTGTCGTTGGGTTTGTTCTATCGAACCATGGCTGCTATCACCATTTCGTCTTTGCCCAATTCAGCCCCCTTACCAGTAAAGCTCGTGATTACGTGGAAAAGCCATATTGTGTTGCGTCGAATTTTGCCTATTCCTTCATCTCTCTAGTTTTAGGTTTTATTATCCGTCCATATTGCGACCTTACGGAGTTGCAGATGGAATTGGCAAGCTTCTAGAGATTTGAATTTGAGCGTGACCCGCATGATAGCAATATACGTACTTGGTGCAGCGTGGATGCCTGGATCTTTCTTGTTGTGGGTGTTGTTGCGAAGTGGACAAGTGTACTATGGATATGTATGCTGAGTATGTTTAGGATTGATACACTGTGTGCTTTGTCTAATGGAATTGATAGGGTGGAAGTTTGTAGATCAATTTAGAAAAATCCCACAGTTGCGTCGTTTACTAATCGCTCATGAAAACGAGGGTGAAAGGTGGAATTAGTCGAAAGAATTTAGAGTCTTAGCTAGCAACTTATAATCCATTAGGATGCGTCCTTTTAAGCTACGTGTGGAATCTTCTTTGAATTGATGGAGAGAATGACTGCTCGGAATGGAATCTATTGAAACAGGACTTGTACAAGGCTTGTACATTGGGTACTGGGTTTAAGATTGCAAAAAACAAGGGCCTTAAATCATGGATTGCTACGATTTGAAAATGTAGACTCGATTTATGCTTGTGTACTGCGAGATATAGAATTTTCAGATGCATAATCAATGGATTAAATTAAGCGGATTTGGATGTGCATTGATGATAGTAGTACAATCAGTCATGAGGATTGTCAGTTTCTGTTATAGAGTATTTTATTTTTGATGATGTGAACAGAACAACTTTTACGTTTAAATAATGTAAGCTCGAAATAATGATTTTTTATGGTAGTTACTTCCCTTCACAAAATTAACAAATTGCATATTTTAATCGCTTGAACGTTCATGGCATTCCCTGTCTCTTTTGATTAGACGCTCTCAATCAAAGATATTAGCCCAGCTGTGTGTATCTAAATTTGTAAACATCTCTGTCAATTATTTTTAGTATCGATTTCAAAAGGGCTCATTTACATGAATACTATTAATCTATATACAAAACATCATTCAACAGGGGTTGATGAGCTTCTCATGAAACTCTTAAATGCATGTATCAAATGATACGTGCCACCTATATCTGCAGGTAGGCACATCCCCGTTGCTGAAGTGGATGGACTTGTTGAATGCGTACACCTTTATGAAATGGTTTCTAGCTCCGCAAATCACTGCATACAGGTTGCTGAATGCGAAGACCACATCGGAAAACGACATTGATGTTGCTGGTTCGGTCGATCTCGATTTCAATTCTACTCACTTTTTAAAGCTTTTGCTGCCAATCGTAAAGGACAAAAACATGATCAATGCAAATCCACGTGTGTTCTGCGCTGGGCCTACCTTGGTGGATCGGTTCAGTGATTCCCTCTAGCTCAACCTTGGGATTCCTAAGGATCACTCAGGAACCTTCAAAGTGGCCAACAGTTGCAGCCAGCGTCATTCGAAAACTGGGTTCATGTTCGTTGAATGCTTGTGTACCCTAAACCAGGTTTTAGGGTTTAGGATAATTGTTTCGTTTAACAGCGTTCTGTGCTGCCATCTTTGAGAATCACTTCCACATTGATCGACAACAAGAAACTATTTTACCGTTATTGGTAGCATGTTGCACCACCTATCACCTCGTTTCCATCTATCGTATTAATTTCCTGGTCATGTGATTTTTCGGGACAATCTCATAAAGTTCAACGAGACAGATTCTCAACCACATGCCAATCCTATTCTTGCGGTGTTTTCTCAAACATGGGTGAGGTTTCTTCTTCCGTGTCATGTAGATGTGCAAAATATGCTTCCACAACGTCACACAGGAATTCACAGGAGGGAGGTGGAACAATTTTCAAGGGGTCACGTCAGCACCGCGCATGGCTCTTTAATCGAGCTTATGATATTCTTTTCCAGGTCTGCAAATGAAAGGTTGACACGTGATACCGAATCTGGGCGGTCGGTCCGTCCTCTTTCCGTGGAGGTCTGCTTCGTCGAAGGCAGATTTTAGGGTTTGCTAGGGTTGGAACACGAGGTCGACAGACATTGCGTTCCTGGATTGTTTCACCAGATTTCTAATCGGGCTTGCCAAACTGTGAATATGCCTAACATAGCCAGAAACTCAGTGACATCATCCCGCATTCGTCGGGTTTGGGAGTAGGACAGGGTGGAAGGCCTGAGACTCGAGTACTGGGTAGGCAAACATGGGATGGGGCTGATGATTGACGTTGGAATGTTGGTCTGGCCATGGTGGTACATTAGAGCGGTGGAGTTGGTGGATTCGGAGTGAGGAATATTTGAGGCGGTTCGAAGTTTAAGACTTGAGAGCTTCGGGTTCAGCGGATGTTATCGAAAATTGGTATTAGGCGAGTCTAAGTTCTATGAGGAAGCTAAGTTTTAAAGGTTGAGTGCTGGATTGGGAGTTAAGATTTTACGTTAATTTGCGTGAAGTTGTGGGAATTGGTAATAATTCCGAGTTTGTAGTTGAAGGAATTTGACGTGGTTTGTGCTGGGAGGGTGTGGACTGTGGTTGATCGGTGTTGGGAGTTTAGGGTTGGATTTAATTTAACGGTGAAGTGAACGTTTGCATTGTATTAGAGGCGTCTCTTGATGTCGTACTGTCGAAGTAATCGGCACCGACTTGTTTTCATGGCTTTGCAGCGTTGATTTGGTTCCCTAGGGTAGATTGTTACAGGACGGACTATCCGGGGACTGAAGGTGTCGTTGTAGTGTGTAAGGTTAGATTGTAAGATTTGCGGCTGAAGCGTAAACTGGCATTGATGAGGCTGTTAGTTGAGTGCAAGTTTTAGTCACGAACATGGTTTTCCAAATACCCATCAGTGAAGTGGGTGAGAGACTCTGAATCTGCGATGCTTGAGGGGTGTTGCACGGTGTTCTGAGCGGAGAGGATAGACACATCATGAGTCTCACTTGTAAAATATGCTTCGAAAGCGCCTCTGGACAAGGCAAGCAAGCTAGAATTACATCCTGCGGCCATGTGTTCTGTCACGATTGTGCAACTATCTGGTTTCGTACGGAAACGAATTGTCCAGTCTGTCGGAACCCGGTAGCAGGATTTTCTAGGTTGATTGCACTATTCGACCATGATGCCGGATTGCAATCGCCTTCTCTTGGATTCGACGATGAAATCTGCGAAAACCGAGGGGAAATTGTAGGGACTTCAGGATGTGAGGATGGGCAGGTGCGCGATAGTCCGAACGGGGCAAAATCTAGTGGGGTTGGGACCAGTGGATCAGGAGAAAGTGGAGCAATTCAGATTGCGGGAGGGGAACCAAGCTCCACAGGTAGGAGCAGTGCAGAGGGAGCTGGGGCAAGTGCAGATCGAAGTCGTGTAGCTGACTGCTTGCAGCGGAGAAATTGCGACAACGAAGATGTGCAGGTTGGTGGCTTTTTGAGTATCCATTACAGGCATTTGAACCTCTCATAGTGCTTAGCATGGCTTGGAAACATGGGAGTACAAGCGTCTCTACTAGAACTGAAATGCTCGAGGATTTGAATTCCCGGTATGTTGGATTTAGTCCACAATTCTCTTAGACATGAGTATGTCTGGTTTGGCCTATTGGGCTTCCTCAGGAGTGGTGCGATAGTATCCTGTTTCAAGAATTCGTCATCGAACCGTAGTGTTTCTCAAGGCTCGTGCATTACCTATTTTCTTAAGTAATTATAGCTTGTTTTTCTACACTGAAGCACAGCGTGTATGGTTGTAAGCAACAGATCAAGGATGAATTTTATTTTGAATCGTATTGTCTTATACAATCTCCTTACTACTTATGCAGGTAAAGTTTGTGTTGAGTAAAGTTGCTGAGAGATGGCAACAGGTTATGGTAGAGCGAGCAAGGCTTAGGGTCCAAGTGGCAGCGCTTGAGAAAATTAAGCAAGAACTATCAACAAGAGTTCAAGCCTTGACTGACGAGAATGAAGCAATGAAACAAGCGATGAGTATGGGATTTCGACCACGAGGAGGTGCATCTAATTTTCGTTGGGACCTTGACTACGACGCTCAGGATAGCAGCTACTATTCAGACAGTCGCCTTCAGGGGTTAGACAGAGAAAGTGAGATGAATGCCATGGGTAGTTATCTTACCAGTCTGAACATATCACAGATTGGCTATAATGATACAGGATACCCTCCGGTCAGAGGCTGGTCGAGAGCTCCAGCAAAAGTTGAGGAGCGACTCAGTGCTTCTAAATGGGAACTTGCCCACACATTCACTAAGCATATGGGTCCTGTGCATGGAATTGCAGTTAATCCATCAGGGAACCTTGTGGCCACTGCTTCTTGGGACCACTTATGTCGTGTATACGATGTACACCTCGAAGACGAAGTCGCCGTACTTTCCGGTCATATGCTGGGTCTTTATGCTGTGAAGTTCTCTCCAGCTAAGCGAGATCTTGTTGGGACTGTTAGCTCTGATCAGACTTGTCGCCTGTGGAACACAGATACTGGAGAATGCCTCCGTGTACTCGAAGGCCACACTGATGAGGTTTTCATCTCACCTGAATCTCATCTATGTACCAAATTTCAAATTTTTAAAAGTTGCGTCAGTCATTTGTGTTAAGCTTAAAAATGTGTACGATTCTTTCTAAGATACAACGAATGTATAAATAGTTGTTGTTGGATGTTGTAATCCAGGTTAATGGATTGTCTTTCAAGCCAGGTACGCATCTTCTGGCAACAGCGTCAGACGATGCTACGAGCATGATTTGGGATGCTGAAAAAGGGATCCCAATCACTACTCTGAATGTAAGAATTGTGGTTACATTGAAACTTGAGTACGTACTGCACAGACTACTTATCGTTGTTTTATCAAAGTCTAAAGTGTCTCTGCTGACTACTGTTCCGCTTTTTGGTTCTGGGTAGGACTCAGGTGGCAATTTATTCTTTTTCTCGTCGTATGTAATGATACTTTTTTGATGGTTTTTTCCCGCTGTATCTGCTGCCAAATTACACAAGCGATGTGAAAAAGCAGATGTAAACTATCGTGCTTTGCACCCTGAAGTCCAGGTGCTGAATAATTGGTGTCGTACATCACTCAAGCTGTTTCCTATTCTATGCTGACCATGTTGTATCATTCGGTTGTTGTCTTATTTTTTTAGGGTCATCGGCATGGGGTTTATGGTGTTTGCTTCCAGCCCGGTGGAGGTCATTTAGTGGCTACAGCGTCTTTTGACTTCACCGCTAAACTCTGGGACCCCCGGTCTGGTGAAGACGTCCAAACTCTTCGCGGTCACTTAGAAGATGTTATAGGTGTAGATATTGATGACTCAGGAACGTATTTAGCGACAGGGAGCGATGACAAAACTTGTCGAGTTTGGGACTTGCGCATGGGCCATCCAATAGTTGTGCTGAAGGCACATTCAGGTGAAGTGAAACGTGTTGTGTTTTCACCGTATGGCAAGCTGCTGGCTACAACGTCGGGAGATACCACGGTCCGACTTTTTGACACCACTACTTGGGATTGTGCTCAGATACTCAGGTATGTGTTTCTCTGATTTAGAGCGTTTAGGATTAACCTCATCATATGGTGTGTATTCTGATGTCTATATAGGTTAAAATGTTGAGGCTGTTGGAGGTTATTAATTGTGTTTGTTGTTCTATTTTCCTGGGTGACACAGTATGTGGATGGGACTCTATCATTTCATAGGTAATGATTTTCATTAGCTCACTTATGACCAGTGCATATCATAATCCTGTCTAAGTGGTGGATTTCATCAATGCAGCTCACACTCGGATCATGTGTTCGACGTGGCATGGTCGCCCACGGCAGACTTCCTCGTAACTGCAAGCCATGACAGGCTTTGGAAGCTATGGCAGCCCAGAGTTCCCTCGCTCCGCAATTCTGGCTTTACCGCTAATAATCATCAGCGGTACCCAGCTTCACAAGTTAACTCTGACGTGATGAGAGTGGAGCGTATGGCCATGGCTTAGGTCAACTAGCTACGATCCTCATTGAGTTTCATCATTTAGGTTACGCAAGGTTGTATAAGAATCTGCCCTGTCTTAAAAGCAGTTTAGGATGACTAGTTATACGTTCAGGAGCCACTTGTGTTCTGCGAAGATAGGACACATAAATAGTGTTGTAGATTAAGTACATTAGAACGAACTTCAAGTGGAGGACGAAGGACGAGTCAGTCAGCCACGGGCATGAGCCAAGGCTGGGAGTGGTGGTTGTGGTTCTAGAGCTTTACAGCTCTCCTGAACCGGTAAGGTTTCGCATTGTTTATTCAAAATGGTGACTGAACTTCTTTCTTAAGTTTATTCTCGTCGAGTGCATTAGGAATTTTTATTATTATAGAATTTTTCGTGGTGTTTTTGTACTGTTGGGAGGTATCTTTCGAATCGTTTCTGATGCTGGTGTCTAGAACGGAGATGTGTGGTCCAGAAAAATTGGATATTTGTTTGGATGTATGCATTTGTTGAAATGCCTTCAGTTAATGGGTAGACCCAAGACAGGCATGTGTGATAGAGTCACTACAGCAGATATTCACTTTGAATGGAAATGTTGTCTTGCCTGGCCGTACAATGTGGATGTTGGTGAACAACATGCGGTCGCGGATCGCTTGACTTAACGAGCCGACTTATCCCATCACTTATATGTTCTGTCGTTGTGTGCTATTGATGATACAAATATAAGCCTCCATTTTCGTATTATTCAGCATGCTGCACAAAATTGTCTTCAACATTGTGAATGTATGTAAGATTCTCTTTCCACTTGTATGGTTGATAATGACAGGCACTTCAGAGTGGTCGAACAGGAAGAAGACAAAACTTCGTATCATTCAAACAATCCACTAATACAATTTGCAAGATTCTCTACAATGGTTTTGATAAGGTTGAAAGAGTGTTATTCCCGACATTATTCAACATGATACAAAACATTTTCTTTTTACAAGTGTTGGTTTTACATTACTGATATGTTCAAAAAATTAGTAAGCATTTCCAACAAGGAATAATTAGAACCAACCCAGAATCTGTTTTTCCTTATTCCACTATAGCTTGAAACCATTATCCCAAGCAAATCACAACAATCTACACAATGGGTCAACTATCTGCACGATTAGCCCACCACTAAAAACACTACCATGGCATTGGTGTAAAACACGATCTGAGATTTCGGGGACCATACAACGTCACTTGAGACAGGTTTTGGCTTTTTACATGAATGCCTGAAAATCAATCACCCCACTGTTTAGCTGGACAACTCTGGCACCATTGGAAGATTCTCGAATGTTCTTTTAACACTCACAACCGGAAGCTTTTTGTGGCCTGCTGGCGTTCATGTCGATTGTGTCGGGCAGGTAACTGCAACCACATGCCAGAAATTGCACTTCATTAAAACCATACCCTGACTTTATTTTCGCCTAGGTAGAGAAGGTAATCTGCAAAATAAAGACTACAGTAATGGAATGGTAACTTACATTTCTTCCTCTGTCTCGTTCTTCAATGCATTCTTAGCAATAACCTGAAATGCCGCATCTACATTGAAGTCTTCCTTGGCAGATGTCTCAAAATAAGGAATGCCTCCTTTCGCTGCACACCATGCTTTAGCCTTCTTCTCAGAAACCTACACAGTCCATAAAATTGAAGAAAAATGAAGGTTCCTTTCAACAAATAGTATAATTTATCACATTTAAAACGATACTCGCCATCAGCAAATGAAATCATGTCTGAAATGCTAATAACCTAGAACATGAGTAAATTGATGCTTGCCGCATCCATTCGTAGCTTGAACCAAAGGTTAAGATCAAGTAAGCTAACCACTCGACTGTTGCCACCATCTACGTCCACCTTGTTGCCAAGAACAACAAAAGGGAAGTTTTCTTGATCCGATGGACTTGCCTGAAACAGCCAAAACAAGTACTGAACACAAAATTCTAGTCGGGGTGGGAGAGCGTAGTTTAATAGGATTTGGCAGAACAATTGTATGAGTGGAATATTCAAATGCGTCAATGATAAGAAATGAATGTAATAAAAGGAGATATAAAAGTTCTTGGAACTGTCAGACGGAGAGTAAAAGTTGCCTGAATCAGGAACTCATCCCGCCAGTTGTCCAGATTATCAAAGGACTTCATAACATTGACATCGTAAACAAGAACACAACAGTCTGCACCCCGATAAAAGGCAACGCCAAGGCTCTGAAACCGCTCTTGTCCGGCTGTGTCCCAAATCTGTCAGCAAAACAAGCCGTGCGAATATTAGAACTGAGGAAGAACAGGCGGAATGAGTCACAAGTATAAAAGCTGGACCAAAGACCCTCCTCCTCATCTTTTTTCACATCAGAAAAAGAAAAAGCAAAGAAAAGAAAGATTCTGAAATCCTTCAAATCCACATAATAAATCCAATTCATCCAACCAGCACAGAGAATGGAAGCCATTCACACTACATCAACTTTGAAAACCAACGTACTTAAGACAGTCATCGTATGCGGGAGTTACGGACCTGCATTGTCACAAGTCTGTCTTCGACTTGCACCTCTTTTGTCAAAAAGTCTGCTCCAATCGTGGCCTTATACTGGTTGCTAAACTTCTTGTTAACATATTGATTCATCAGCGATGTCTTCCCAACCCTGCAACGATTTTTTTTAAAAAAGAAAAGAAGCTGAGAGATTCAATTAAACTGGAAGAGAGCACGTTATTCAAAGGAATTGAAGACAATAAGACCTGACACACTCGAACGTACATTCAATAAGGACTTTTCAACTGATCTGTGCAGCCTTGAGAACTCAAGGCGACTAATTAACCCCACAGCACTCGAACAATTTGTATTCAACTACTTGCTCAAAAGCTTGTGCACGAACATACATAGACCCCTCCGACGAAAAACTCTGAACTAGCCACCTCAATAATATGGCGCTCGTTTAGCATATTCATCAAACACGGAAAAAGAAACTCGCCAAGATAGACGAAAGGAGCAATATCTCTGCAAAGCTGGCAGGAAAAATTGGAACACCAACAAATTCACAGCCAGAAAAAAACAAAAACATTCTCGACAAGGTTCTCTGCAAGAATCATACTTCAACAAGATCCAAACCATCCACAATAACAGCACCCTCACAGTTCCAAAAATCCAGACCAACAATACGCTTATCATAAGCTGATCCGCAAATGACACCTCAAAGCAACCTCCTCATCTCCGGAAAAACGATTCCACGCACACATCCCGCACACGCCGCTTCACAAACTCATAACCCACTTCAAAACTCAAACAAAAAACAAAAAATAAAAATAAAAATCGAAACTCCACACAAAAACAGAATCGGAAACACGGGAAACAGTACCCGCTATCGCCGAGGATGATGACCTTCAACAAGGTTCTCTTACGAGCCGACATGGTTGCGTTCTGTGCTGCCCTTCTCCCAAACGTGCGACCTAAAAATTTACCCACTCAAAAACCCAGAAAGGAACTCTGAGCAGTGCGAGGCAAAATCCACAACGGCAATCGATTGGAAGCGAGAGATCGAATTGAAACCCCGACGCAGCGCAACGCAAGGATGGCTTGGCTTGGCGACAAGGGAGCGAGAGAGCGAGAGAAAGATGGATGCATCATCAACATCCATCATCGAAGAAGAAGAAGAAGACGAAGAAGCTGCTGTCTCGAGAGAGAGCGAGAGAGCGGGGCACTTGGCTCCCCAATCGCTGGTAGAACTCCAAAAAGCGATTGTGTGCGCTGGCATTCAATGCTCTGCCCCACTCCCTCCCTCCCTTACCTCTACCATTCATTTGTCTTCTATCAAAACCATCACCTTTGATTTAGGGTTCTTCGGTTCTTCCGTTTGGATGTTTCTCCCTCCCATCATAATGTGATTTTTTTTGGCTCGGAGTCTATGATTTTAGACACCCTGGTCAAGATTGTTTGTTCTTGTTTGTTTTTGTTTTATTTTTTTTTGTTTTGTTTTGTTTTGTTTTGTTTTTTTTTTGTTTTTTTGTTTTTTTTTTGTTTTGTTTTTGTTTTGTTTTGTTCTTTTTTTCCAATAAAATTAAGACCTTTAGATTGGGGTAGTTAGTTCTTGAACCCTCTTCTAGGTTGTGTCTTTTTCTAATATTGATGTGAAATTTGCCTTAAGCCTTTGGTTTAGAGCCTTCTTCAATGTAGTCTTTTCCAACAATAATATGATGTTGAAGTTTTATGGTTTTTGGTGTTGTCTTTTTAGTAACAAAAAGTATGGGCTCTAAGATTAGATAATTGATTTTAATCTTGGATTAAGTTATAGGATATTTACAATACACTTATGGGCTTGCAAGATTATATATATATATATATATATATATCCACAAATAACTCACAAAGGAATTTATTGCATCAAATATTTATGTTTTTAAATCAATATATAGATTGTAAATATTATCTTTCTTTTTAAAAATCAATATGAATTAAGTAGATCATTCAAAACAGAAATAAATAACATTTGATTTTAAATAGAAAATGAAGAACAAGAAATTTTTGGTTCTTTAATTAAATAAAAATATCCAATATTTTTTATCTTATTACAATTAAAAATAAAATAAATTGAATATAAAACACGAACTTAAATTAAAATAGATTTTGGATGAAGTTATTTTATGGCCATGCAAAAATGATATTAATATTTTTTTAAAAAAATTAACAAAGTAATACTTATTTTTGTAATGATGCAATTTATATATTCTTACCTTAAAATAATATGCACATAAAAATGATACATTTCTCTATTGCCAACTTACAAAAACTCGCATAAATTCATCACAACTAAGTAAATAAATAAAAAATAAATAAAGTAGCTTATTTTATACTATAGATCAAGTTTAAAATGTAGTTTTAAGTATATTAATAAAACTAAAATTTTCCACTATATTAGATAGCACTAATAAAATTGTGGAATTTTTCTATAATAATTTATCAAAATATTTTTTAAAACCTCATTATGTTGAAAACATAATAATAATTTTTAATTAATATTAAAAATTAATAATTAAAATAAAAATCTAAAGGCCTTGTAAATTCTAAATATGAAATCTTTCCAAAATTTTAATAACCTTAATTTCTATCATCCCTCAAGAATATATATACACACATCCATATATATATATATATATATATATATATATATATATCAACAATCAATTAACATGTTGTTATAAAAAAAGTGTTTAAATTTTTTATTTTGTTAACACTACGAACTTTAATTACTAGAATATAAAACCAAGTAAAGTTTTTTATTTAATAAATAATTTATAATTTATAATATATAAAAATTAAATGTAAGCTATATATAAATTTTGATAGTTCTTAATCATTTATCATGTTGTTATGTTTTTTTATATTGACGAAGCTAAACTTTGTTTTGAACTTATAATGAAGAGTATCAAAAGCTAAAAGATTATAATCTCATTTATTACTATTGCTTTAAAAGAAATTATAAAAATATTCAAGAAAATATATTACAAATAAAAATAATAACATCCTTGATGTAAAATAATAATAAAAATTTATCATTTAATTTTTTAAAATTAAAATATGAAAGATTTTTTAAAATAAAATATAAATAATAAAATCATAGATATTCGTGTTGAATTTAAAACATATTTTTATTATTATTTTATTATTTTTTTTTCTATTAATTATTTCTTTATTAAATTATTTTTTTAACTATTAATCATAGATATTCATGTTGAATTTTAAAAATATTTTTTCTTAATAGTTAAAAGAAATAAATAATTTATGAAGATGTAAAAAATGAAAAAAAATGGAGTTTATATATTAGTAACAATAAAAATAATAATTTATTAAAATAAAGAGTAATATCAAATTAAAAACTAAAATTAAATAGAATCATTGTAATGCAATTTAAGTTTTGTTTTGAGTTGCTATATTTATTTTAAAATCTTAAATAAGTGAATATATATATATATATACATACATATACATCAATACAATATATTCTTTTATGAAAATTTTCACTATATTACTTAGATTAGAAATATCTATTGTATAAGATTTATAATATAATTATTATTATGTTAAGAAATATTTAATAATTTTTTTATTTTTTGAATATTACTCTAAATTGTGATAGAATAAAAAATCTTCTTATTAGAGCATCAAAAAAAAAATTATTAAATATTTTTTTATAGAAATCTATTAAAGAATTTTAAATTTATTAATTAAGTACAAATAAATACTAATCTTTAATTTCAAAGTTATTCAACCTAAGTATCTTGAATTATATTTAATTAAATTATATTTAATATATCATTTTTATTTTTTTATTTTTAGAAAAAAAAATAATATAAAAAACTTAGATATATTTTTTGAAAAAAATTGATTTGTATATAATAATCAATACAATTTTTTTTACAACAAATTAATTATTTTTTATACATATAAATATTTTAATAGTTTTAATAATCAGAAATTTATATTAAGTAGAATGATTGTTAATCTTAGAAATTTTGTTAGTTAAAAAGATACTTTATCTAAATGAATCATTAAGTTCAGAAGATACAAGATTGATAGAGAATGGGATACAAAAAATCTTACGTTTCTTAGCCTAAGGTTTGGACATTTTGTCATAGAGCCTCATGTTTGGATTCTAGTAATATAAACTTTTGTTAATCCAAAGTTTGGCAATTTGGAGTAAGTGAAATCCTAAAATGATTCAATTAAAACTTAATAATAAAATTTAATAAGTGTACGAATAATATTATTGTGAATCCAAAATAGTTATCAGCACAATTCAATTCAATTATCTTTTATTAAATAAAATAATTTGAAATAAAACTTTGATTAAGAAGAATTTTGCATCATCTATAGTTATAAGATAGTTTGTAATAGTATTGCATTGATTGGTATAAGAAGTGAAAAAAGAAAAAAACAACATTAAAATCAAGTTTGCATCAAATAGTTTAAATGGGATAACAATAATACCAAATCAACAAAATCTCTTTAATCTAAGTTTATTGTAAAATTATACTATTTCTATTTAATTATAGCTACTAGCTATTTTGGCCTAAAAAATTAGTTTATTTTTCTATACTAATGTGATCTAATTAAAGTATCCAATTCTTAAGTGAATTAAATAGTTTTCTTCTAACTAATATTTAATAGTCTAAATCTTAATTCAATTGAAGGCATTTGGTTCTTAAGTAAATTAGATATTTTTGATTCACCTTGGACTACTATCCACATGCCATTCATTTTTTTTTTTTCTACTATCCAAAACTTCCTTGTCGAAGTTTTCTTTACAATCTAGATCCTATTGATATAAGTTTTTTCTATTGCTTGGATCTTACAAATTTAAGTCTCATTCTAAATTAACTAAACTAATTAACAATGATGTAATAATTTTTAATTGGTTTTATTACAAAATAAAATTTGACATGAAATAATTGCTATAAATTTACTTGGTCTTTAAGTACTAAGTTAGTTATTTTATCTTTTTATTAAAAACGATTCTTAATTCTTTGATTTAAAAAAAAATGCAATACGATTGAATTTAAATGGTTTTAAACTCTTGTAGCAACAGCTATGCTATTCAAAATTTATAATAAAAAATAAAGGATCTAAAGATTAATATTACATAATTTTAATTCTTATACTAAAAAACAAGAATAATAATAATAATAATAATAATAATAAATGATATGAATAAGAAGTTTTTTATTAGATTTTGAAAATATCTATATATATAGTTCAATATTTTCTAAGTATAAATATTATGTATTTAGGCCAATAGATCTATTTTTTTATTTTTTATTTTTTTTAAATATTCCTAAATTAGATTGTTAGTTCTTAAATAGCTTACTAATAGGTCATTAGATAAATATAGATTGTTAACTAGGTTGTTACAAATTAATTAGTAGTTATAATTTAAGAACAAATAAAGGTAATAGAATCCTACTAGGAAACATACTCTAATCAAGGAGATGTTATCAACTTAGAAACATTGCATGTTTTGGGGAATTAAACATCTTTTCCTAAATTAAGTACCTTTGAATGCTTTAAATACATATACAAGGTCATATCAAAAAAGAAGTGAATTGTCACTAAAGAGTTTACAACTGGCAACAATTAGAGAAAACTAAATTCCTTAGTTAAAGATAATTAGTTATTCTATTGGAGTCATGTTGTTGCTAACATTCCAAATTAAATTTAAGAAGTATTGGCAACATAATCAAGAAGTTGGATTAGAATTTGGTACTTATTGTATTAAACTCAATTGATATCTCATAGCAAATTAAGATTGATGTGCTCAAAAGAAAATTAGATATGTGATGGAATTAGAATATTCAAGTGGCAAAAAGAATGCTAAACTAGCATTTACAAAGCTATGCAATTATAAAACATAAAATATATATATATATATATATATATATATATATATATATATACTTTATTAGAATGTATATGAATAATAGAATTTGATTCTTGTACTACATAATCTTATAAAAGTTATATGTTGTTATTCAAATTCACTTCTTATTACATAAAATAAGTTTGCTTAGAATCTAAAATCTACATAATTTATGCTTTTATAATACATAATTTAAAAATTTATAATTTTTTATTCGCTAAAAGATATTAAATATCACAAGATTCCTTTAATATAAAAAATAAAATAAAATATCCATATACTTAGAGA